GCCGCCATGGCGACCAGGAAGGCGGGCTCGCGGCTGGAGACGGAGATCGAGCGATGCCGCTCTGAGTGCCAGTGGGAGCGGATCCCCGAGCTCGTCAAGCAGCTGTCGGCCAAGCTCATCGCTAACGGTAGGCGCGGGCGTGTCGCCGGGATTGCGGCGAGCGCTGGGGCTTTGGGCCCGAGTGAGGCGGGGCGCCGGTCGAGAGCAGGGGCGCGGCCGGGAGGCTAGGCGGAGGCCCCGCGACGACCGTGGGCCAGGCCCCAGGGGACCCGGGGTCCTCCGGTCACGCGGTGTGCGGCCCAGAGGCCGGCGTGCCGTGCGGCGCCCGAGTCCGGGAGTGCAGGGCGCCAGGGCTCACCCAGCTCTCGCCGCCCCGCGACCCCAAGAGGCTCAGCAGCCGGCTTCTGGCTTCCAAGAAGTTGGAGCTGATGTGTGTGGGGTGCGTGGGGTGCACCCTGAGGACGTGCTGTGAGCTTTTGGGGGTGCTCTGAAGTGTTTGATGTGCTCTGGGGTCCTGAGATTGGGGATACTGTAAACATATGGTGTCCAAGGGCTCCGGGAGGAAGCTCAGACTTAGAGGGTGTCGGGGTGGTGGTGGCAGTTTGGGGCGTGTGCTTTGAGGTTCTTAGAGTCAAGGCTGCAGACCTGAAGAGGTCAGGCTGGAGAGTATAAGGTCAACAGAGTCAGGGGAGTCAGGAAGGAGGCTACTTTGGAGAGACGTGAGAACGTGACTGAAGAATGCTGGGAAAATAGAGCTGGGTGGATGAGGGGCTTGGTGTGTCTTGGAGCAGAGCATCAAAGTGGGAGCCAGTGCCTGGACTTGGCCCATTGGTTCTTTTTAACCCATCACATCAAAAATGCAGCCGAAATTGCATTCCAGAGCGAGGCTCCACGTGGCCTTATTTGTTTTGGAAGCATGTATAGTTAATATTTGCTTGTCTTTTAGTACCCGCCAAAACCATAGGCAGGCTCTTGGAAGCTGGTGAGAGGGCAGAGGATTATTCCCTACCTCTAGCTAGCTTCCCAAGACTGAATAGATCTGCGCAGAACAAATGAATCACAGAGTAAATGAGTGAATGACACTGCTCATTCAAGGAAGGATGTTTGCACTATTTTCAAATTTCTCACCTCAAACTACCCAGAAATGGACAGGGAAGTCACGTATCTTCTCTAAGGATGGTTTGTGTATTTTATAGAATTAGTGCCTCAAAATAAAAGCTTTTTTTTTTTTTTTTTTTAAATTTAGTGGCAGGATCTCCCTAGGTAACACACACTAGCCTCAAACTAATGTAGCTCAGGTTGGCCTCCAAGTCCCTATCTTTCTGCCTTATCTCCCCAAGTTTTAGGGCTATAGGCACATACTACCATGCACACAAGACAAGATCTGGTTTTACATACTATTGACTGTGGTACCTTGCTTTGGGCAGATATTTGGAGAATGGTGACTTGTCTCCATTAATTTAGGATCTGAGGAAAATGTGTTCAGTCAACAGGACTCCAAAGGCAACTTGACTTTGCCCTCCTTGTAAGGTCCACAGGTCTGTCCTTTTGTCTCTTCTCTTTACCTGCAACAGTTTTCTCTTTTCTCGTTGAAGTCACATAGTCCTAGGCCTACTTTGTCACTTCACAGCTGTGTGACATGATCCCTCTGTCTGGGTTGATGTTAAGGTTCAGTGTGTTGAGCTTCCTGCCTGGTCCCTCCAAATCTATCTGCTTCCTGCTGTCTTTTTTTCATTCTTCAGCATGTGCAGTGCTCACCTGTACCAGGCACTAGCCAGTCAGGCCCCTGCCCTTTCCTTCCTCCAAGAAGACCACTGAGAAACAAACATGGAAATAGACAGTGAGAAGTGATTTAAAGAAAACAGATGAGTTAATGTGACTGAGGAAGGAGGAGGGAAGGAACTGAAGCTGCCCTGGTCCCTGGAAGTAGATGGTGGGTGGACTTTTCATGCATGGCTCCATCTTACCTTTATGGCCCTCTGCCAAGCTTGGCTCTCCTTCCAGTGCTTGGTTCCTGTGGCTGCAGCTGCAACCATGAATAGGAATTGAGGTGGTGAGGGGCATGTGGGTGGATAGAGCAGGGCATTGTGGCCCATGGGTGTGTGTGTGTGCAAGTTCAGCTTGGGAAGTCCATGGGAGATAGAGTTTTGTCCCAGAGACTCACATGGTAAGCTACAGCCTGGGGAAAGGTCACCTAGATTTGAAAAGGTCAAAGAGCGTACACCTTTAATCCGAGCAGAGGCTGGTGGATCTCTGTGAGTTCAAGGCCACCTTGATCTACATAGTAAGTTTCAGGCCAGCTAGGGCTTCAGGGAGACCTAGTCTCAAAAAAGACCAAATAACAACAAAAAAAAAAAGGTCAAAGAAACTGCTTGGGAAGATAAAAAAACAAAAGCAAAAAAGAAAAAGATGAAACAAACCAGAATGACTGTAGGCACAGAGAAGTGCTTGAAGGTGGGCCCTCCTTGGCTGATTGGGGCCTTTGGATTGTTAGTGGGACCTCTGGGCTTTGGGTATACTGACTCCCTTCAGCAGCTTTAGGGGCACTAGCACAAGTTTTGGACAGATGGCAAACTGCTTAAGTTTAAAGCCCTTGCTGCTTGGAATAAGGAAAACAAGTTAATGCCATGATTGCCAAACTAAGATCGTTTCCTTGAAGTCAGCTTCAAACAAGAGCATGCAGGCCTTGTAGACAGCCAGCCTGGGGCTTGAGTCCTGCTCCTGCCACTTTTGACTCTGTGACCTTAACAACCCAGAACCTCAGTTTCCTCACTGTTCAGTTTCCTTAACCTTCAGAGCCTCCTTTAGAATAGGGTTAAAAGATGTACCTTGCTGGCAGCTGTGGTGGCACACACTTTTAATCCTAATACTCAGGCAAGTAGATGTGAGTTCAAGGCTAGCCTGGTCTACACAGAGAGTTCCAGGCCAACCAGGACTACATAGTGAGACCCTGTTTTTTTTTTTTTTAAGTGTCTTGCAATGATTGTGAAGATTTAAAGAGGGCTGGGGATGGAGCTCAGTTGGTAGAGTACTTGCCTAACATACACAAAACTCTGAATTCTATCACCAGTACCTCATAAACACTAGGCATGGGATGCCGGGGGTTGTGGCGCATGCCTTTAATCCCAGCACTCGGGAGGCAGAGGCAGGCAGATCTCTGTGAGTTCAAGGCCAGCCTGGTCTACATAGTGAATTCCAGGCCAGCTGGGGCTACAGGGCGACCCTGTCTCAAAAAGACCCCCCTCCCCCCAAAATAAACCCCAAAATAAAAATCTAAGCTTGGTGGTGCACACCTATAGTCCTAGCACTCAGAAGGTAGAGGCAGGAAGGTTAGAACGAATTCATGGTCCTTCTTTTTTTCTTCTTGGCTATGTAATGAATTAGAAGTGGCTTGGGCTACAGGAGACCTTGTCTCAAAATAAATAAAAAAGATTAAAGTTGCACACATCTACGGCTAGCCACAGAGTCTGATACCTAAGTAGCAGGCCATTCATTTTTCATTCATTTATTCATTCCATTCAGGCCATTCATTTTTCATTCATTTATTCATTCCATTCATCCTACAAATATTGAGTGTGTGCTGGGGGGGTATACTAGTGAATAGAGGCAAAAGTGAGATTCCATATCCAACTCTATAAAGTCCACCAGGGAAAGGGACTGGGGACAGATAATATGATCATTGCTTCATGGGAAGGATGTTGTGGTAGTCAGTGCTGTCAGAAGAATAAAGGGAAGAGGGTGGGGTGGAGTGGGTCACAGGAACTACTGATTTAAATAGAGTTGGGGACTACATTGGCTCAAGAACTCTCACTGAGAAGGCAACAATCAGAGATAAAACCCCAGGAGCTGGAGGAATGAGTTCTAGAGAGGGGGCTTGGGGGACAGGGGCATGAGTGGGAGCAGATCACGTGGGCCTTATAGGCCACCATTACAACTTTGGCTTTTCTCTGAGTGAGGTGGGAGCTAGGGGAGGGAAGGGAGCAGCACAATCTCAGGTTTGTAATGCTTCCACTCAGCAGGGCCAGCTCCTTCTAGGAAGGACACAGCAGCCACTCCCTGTTAGAAACTCAGCAGTGGACACAGAGCTGCCACTCCATCCTGACTCTTAAGACAAATAGTTTTAGACATTTTGCCAAGATGTAAGTTAGAAAAGGCCAAATGGCAAGTTGGAAATAAAACTCAGAAATCTGCTTTTTGTCTCATATCAGCTCATTCACTGTCTTAAAACAAGTTTTTTTTGTTGTTGTTTTGTTTTTTGAGACAGTCTGATATACCCTCAGCTGGCCTTGTCTCAAACTCACTGTGTAGCTGAGGATGACCTTGAACTTCTGATCCTTCTGCCTCTACTTCCTGAGTCCTGAGATTACAGATATGCAAATCATGCTTGGTTTATACAGTGCTGGGGATGGAACTCAGGGCCTCTGCATGCCAGGCAAACACTTTATCACCTCAGCTACATTCCTCAGCCCCTCATCACTCAGTCTTTTACAAAAAAAAGAAGAAAAAGAAAGAAAGAAAGAAAAAGAAAGAAAGAAAGATTGAAAGAAAGCAAAAAATCAAAACCCTATAGTGGCTGCCTGTGTGCCAAGCTCTGGCAAGTTCTAGCAAGAGAGTGTTGTCTAAGCCCAGGGGGTGGGAGAAAGTTCCACTGAAGTCTAAGCTCTTGATATCTGGTATAAGCATTGGCTGGAATGTGAGGAGTGTGGATTCTTAGCCCACCCCACACCTGTGAAGTCACAATCTGCACACAAAGGCAAGTTGTTGGGACTCAGTGAGTGTAGCGAAGCCTGAGGTACCCAGGCAGGAGCCAAGACAACAGCAGGCTTAGGAGTGAAGCAAGCATACAAAGCTTCTGGTTGGCCCATTCCTGGCTCCTGGGACAACATCTCAGTTGTCCTGTCTTCCCAGAAGGTCACCGTCTAGCCCCTCAGTGTCAAGGTTCACTGTATGTGAAGGGCTGTGGTCTGGCACCTGGACTGATACCCAGACTCTCCTTGGAGCTGGCCGAGTGACCTTGAACCAACTGCTTAACCTCTCCGAACTTGCCTTTCCAATTGGTCAGATAGGGCTTCTAACACCTGCTCCATTAAGGTGTTATAAACCTCAGTATTTGGTAAACTGGTGTTT